CGCCCCGCCCGCGCCGCCGTCAGCCTGGCCTGACCCGACCCCGCCGCGACGGGATGGTCCGCGGCCGCGGCCACGCGCGTCGTGTCGTGTCGGCGGCACCCTCCGGACAAGAGTAATGAGTCATACAGTTGTGCATTGTGTTGTGTTTGACGGCGGGGCGAGGCGTGGCCAGGCGTGGCGGGGAAGGGCGGGCCGGCCCGAGGGTGAGGGTGCCGGGGAGGGGGAGGCCCGGTTACGTCACCAAGGACGCGTCCTCGCTCCCTTCCCTCCCTGCGGGTGACTCAGACACCACCAGCAACCGCTCCGCCTGCTCCACCTCCAGCTGGAGCGAGCTGGAGGGTCCAGGACGCCGCGACGCCGCCCTCGCCGCCATACTACAGGAAGGAGGTGCCGCGCGGGGAGCGGAAGCGGACGACAGGGGCGACGGCGCGCAAAGGGCACCGCAGCACACCCGCTGATGAGGCCTCCCGACAGGGACTTGTCTGGCAGCCGAGCCGGGGGATCGGGACCGGGGGGGAACTGGGGACGGGAGGCCGGGCAGAGATACTCACCGATGAAGTTGAAGGCGTCCTGGAAGTGGTCGCGCAGGGACTGCTGCCAGCAGTCCCGGGCGGGCAGGGCGCGGTGCCGCACCCCGGCGGCGCGGTAGGCCTCATCGGGTACGCCGGGCGGCGCAGAGGTGACGCTCAGCACCCAGTCGGCGCCGAGCAAGCGCAGCGACCGCAGCGAGGCGTCGCGGGCGTTGCCCAGGTACAGGTGCGGCAGGAGGCGCGAGGGCGGCGCCGCGTCCACGTCCAGGGGCGCGGGCGGCGAGTCGGGTCGCGAGCCAGGCGGCGACCCCGGCAGAGACCCGGGCAGCAGGGCGTCCTCGCAGAGCTCGCGGTGCCGCCGGTGGAACTCCCTGTGGCCGCCTGTGGAACAGAGAGGGGATAGTGGATGAGACGCGATGCCCCAAACTAAAAGAGAAAAAGCAGGCGGGAGCAGGGGGCTCTGGTGAACTGCCTGAAAGATTGACGTGAATCGGGAAAAGGGGGAGGTGGTGCTACACCATTCATGAAAACAGCCGGGGTGGTGTGCAGCATGGTGGACACAATATAATGAGCGCGCTTGATAACGCGGGCGAGAGAGGCGGTGGGGGGGGGGGGGATCAACAGCGCGAGTTCGGCTCCCCAGTCGCGTTATCTGAATGCCGCCTGCGTCATTCACAGGCAGAGGCAGGCCTCGCTGTCCAGGTCCAGCGCACCCGACGTAGTCGCGCGCGTCGCGCGCGCCGACCATTGACTCGCTCTGTATCCGCGGGCCCGGCACTGCTGCAGGAGGCGGGGCGAGTCGTGGCGCCCGCGACCTTGTGCCCCGGCAGCTCCCAAGCGATAGGGACCTAAAACGGGGGCGAGCCGGGACGGGCCGGGGGGCAGCCATTCATCGATAGTGAGCGAGACAGGCGAGTCCTTCACGCGCGGCTGTCGTCTGCTGGCGACACCCGCGACCGAGGAGAACACACGGCCAGGGGCCTCGCACATAGCGCGCCGACAGGTTGACTCTCCGGGGGGTTGCGTTGGGGATGAGCAATTAGGAAAAGAAATTCTACTTGACGTTACACTTCCAATGCAAATACCAAGGGGCTAACGCTGACTCACGCCGCGCACGTTCGTGGTGATGCAGTACCGCATGCACCCGTGCGGGCGGGTTGCCTACACTAGCGCGGGGCCGTAAGGAGCATAGAGAAACAAGTCCTTGTTTCTCTATGGTAAGGAGCCGTGGGCAGCGAGGATAGACACACCCGTAGTGCGCGGCGTAAGCCAGTTATCTGGTATACAGGACAGGGTGTCCCTCTCTGGTTGTAACGGACTGGTGTACCGCATTTCGGGGCATGGGCGGGTTGCATACTGGCTCAGCGGCGTAAGGCACCTCGGTGAGCCCCCCGCCCCCGGTCCTCTACCCCCGTTTCGGTGTCGACGCCCCTATACTGGCGCATCCACCCGCCCACCAGGCTTGTCTGCCACGACCGAGTGACTCAGATGCGTCGCCTCCATCCACGACGCCCAGATCAGAGAGTTTGGGTCTTTGGCCGGTCGGCGGGGCGGGGTGGCGGGGACCCACGCACGCGTGCTTGCGTCACCCTGCCGGGCCAGAAGAAAAGAAGCACCGCAGCGTCAACCACCATCACCACCACATCTCTACCACGCCGGGGAGGGGGGGGGGGGCAGCTGCTTCCTGGACAAGAGGAAGAACGTCGGCATAGCCCCCGGGCCTCAACGGGCTTGGAGACAGACTATGGAATCGTGCGTCGGAGGTGAGCGACACAATGCGGGCTGGCCTACCGGCACGGTGCACAAGGGGGTCGCGACCAGCACCCAACGAAAGGCGCATTGACGACAAGAAACTAACGATGCGCTACCTTTCGGATAAAAATGCTTGCAACATGCATTGTGTACGTAGGAGAGTTATCGAGGACCTTGTGGACAAATCCAGGTTTCTTCATTGGGTCTAGAGGCTTCTCATCATATGTCCGTTATTCTCCCGATGTGCTCGGGGGTTTCAAGGGAGTTTTGGACGATTTCTTCTGGGATCACGGAGTGGATTTTTCGGGATTTTTATCACTTAATCCTACTTCATAAAGATTTTTAGGAAAATGTTGGCGCAAACGTTTTGTCGAGTTCTTGGCCTCCGGGTCGTATACTCATTATTAATTTTGTTTTACTGCTATGGGTGATGGGTAGGGATTCTTAGGATTAGTGTAGGGGTGGCTGATGTCGTCGGGACTCAAACAAAATCCGCACTGGTCCTTATGGCCACATTAGAGGCGCGCCCTACCCACACATTTTCGCTCTCGAGGATACTTTTTGCTGTTTCGGTGATGCTGTTTTTCAGTAATGAGGTATGTATTTCGGTAGATTCCGATAGATTTGGTATCACCGATATACCGGTGTCGGCTCGGGTGTCGGTTTAGATATCCACTATACCGAAAAGTTTCGAGTATAGAAAACATTTGATAGTGAAATCTCATTATCGCACGGCCCTGCCCTGCCGCCAGGGGCCAGGTGGGCCAGGTAGGCGCCAGCTCAGAGCAAGCAGCCTGACGTCCGCGAGATGAATCACGGCGTTCGCCTGGCGTGGCCTGGCGCCGCCACGGCCGCACAGGGGGAGGCTCCCACAGACCCGGCCACTCTCCTGGAAGCGCGCCCGGCACGGCTGCACCAGCTGCACCTGGGAGACTTGCACGCAATGTGCCCCGAGCGCCAACACGGCGGCCTAACATGCATTTTTGTTACAGAGCCATTTTGTACAAATCAATTTAGTAATGAAGTTAATTTTAGAGCACAGGGAGCGATCTGACCACTCTAGAGCAATCTGAAAACGAGTGGGCAGCGTGGATAGGCAAACCCGCCTGCACCCGTGCACGCGGTACAGCATAACTATACGAAAGTACGCAGCGTGGGCCAGCCACCTCGTACATAATTTAACATAGGTTTACGAGACCATAAACTGCAGACAAGAATACCAAATAAAATGTGCGCGCCACCCGACTCTGTCACATGCCACTCCTAAGTTCCACGACTTTCCATGACACGTCTGCCGCTAAGTGTAAGACTGTAATGTCTAACGTTACGAAACGGAGGCCCGACGCACACAGTGTAGGTCGCATAGTTTGTGGCTGTGCGCGGAGCCGCCCCATAGAATGCGGATGGGTGCTGGACCACCGCACTCAGGCATCTCATCTGCAGCTCGGCCCTGCATAGCTGTCCGCTTGCTCACTCGCTGGTCGGCCGGGTGCGGCGCCGAGCGGCGGAGCGGCGGGCCACCACCTCAAGACAGACAGGCGGACAGACTCGCACGGCCTTGCCGGCAGACAGAGGGACAGGTACTCCAGCAGGACCATTCAGATTCACCCCTGCTGCTGGCTGGGCTCAACTGGAGGATTGCCGCTCGCAGCGCAGCCAGCCTCCAGCTCCTCTGAGAAAAGAGGGGGGGGGGGTGTAAAGCACCGAAAAGCTTAAGGCTTTGGTGGGTTTTTATCAGAATTACCGGTCAACGTCATTTTAAAGTGATATTTGGAGGAGGCATTG